AAAGCCACATGAATCAGTGGCCTGTTAGTAGGGTTTAAAGCTGTAAAAGTAGAAATAACTGCATGCGATTGCAAAAAGAGGAGAACAGTGAACACTATCCAGAGAGGAGAGTCATTCTGGGTAGGCAAAAAAAACAAAATGAAAGTATCCTCGCTTCTTTTTAGTTTCTACTATAACTAGTGATTCTTAAATATAATTTACAAATTGTGCGGTCACTGTCTTTCTTCGTGTCAATCCAAATGTTATCATTGCAGATGCAGAAAGCATGGATCATTATATTGATGACCAAAGTGCTGAATCAGGTATCCCTATTGAGGTGTTTCAAAAGTTCTGCTCCTCTTTTATTTTTTCGAAGAGGAATAAGCTAACTTTATATGTAGTTTGAAATTCTCGTAGAATGTTCTGCCAATAGAGAAGGAAAATCAAGGAAACTTGTAAGAAATTAAAAAAAACCATGAAGTATGACAAAAAGTCTACAACGTATCAAACGGAGATTTTTTTTTTTTTTTTTTTTTTTTTTTTTTTTTTTATTTGCACGAATTAAACTTGTACAAAGGTCGCTAATAGACATACATAGATGTCTTTTAAAGCTTAATTAATCTATAAGTATAACTTAATTATAATATATAAACATTTTATCTTATAAATTTTCAAAGTTTTAACATAAAAATATCATACTACCTCTGAATATTGAGGAGCTCTAAAAACATAATTACTCCTAAAATAAAAATGTCTTTTTGTTGTTTTAACTTTGTTTTTGTCTTTGTTTTATTGAAGACTACGGTCGACCGACACCGGCCGAAGACCTAAGCACCTCTGATCCATCCGAAGATACGGGGAGGCACACTAGTATTATGGGAAAAATTTTGAAAAGCCCTGAATTCCAAGCTCATAGGGCTTACGTCTTTTCAACCTACGATTACATCGGTCCCATTCCAACAGCGCAAGCGCTTCTTGGTTGGGGTGACGATGTAGTCTCATCTCATACGCAGAGTACATCTTGGTGATGTAATTCTCTACAGAGTCAATATTGAGGTCAGCGCGAATATCTGCATTCCTCTCATACCACCGAGCTTTAGCAATACTTCTTAGAATCTTCATCTGAATGATTTCGATCTTATCTAAATTTGACTTGGCTGCACAACCCCACAATTGGCAACCATAACTCCAAACCGGCCTCAACATTGACTTGTAGAGAAGCAACTTTAGTTGTAGGGAAAGTCGAGATTTGCGCCCCAAGAGCCACTGCATATTAGAGAACTTTAGTCGCAGTTAAGCGACCTTTTTTTTAATCTGAGCGCCCCATCTGAGCCTGGAATCCAGGTGGAGGCCAAGATATTTTGCGATGTTATCGTTTGGGATTTTAACTTCTCCTAAAAGTAGGGGAATATGGGTAAATGGTCTATTAGTGAAAACAACCTCAACCGATTTAGACGCATTTAGTTTGGTTTTGTCTTTTTTTGTCCATTTATCTATTTTGTTTAAATGAGATTGAGCGTTAAAACGTGCCTCCCTGTAACTTCGAGACGATGTTAGCACGAGAGTATCGTCTGCATAAATGCCCAACTTTCCCCCTTCCCAGACTGTGGGATGATCAAACGGAGATACGCTGTTTCGCATTTTGGTCATCAATTAGACAACATTTTGCAATTTGGAACTATAAATTCTAGCCCGGCTTAAAAACGACGTATGCGCCAATAGTTTCCCTGTGTACTTACGTGTTTTTTCACATGAGCCAGATTTTATAATTCCAAATCGCAAAATGCAGTCCATTTATCGAATGCAACGTCACAGGATGAATCACCTCGAGGATTGTAATAAGATTCCCGTGAGAGGGGATAATGGTTGCATCATAATTTAGCGTCAGAAATTTTAGCAATTTTAGGGGTTGCGTAGCTCACCCCCAGTCGCTCCGAGCGTCTTCAACAAAGACATAAAGACGGAGTGCTCGTATCTAAAAGCATGGGGAAAAAGTGAAGTCTGGTTTGGCGCTGGGTGCTTGTGTGAGTGTGTAAGTGAGCACGGGAATCCATGGCGGCAAACTGAAATTTGATTTGATCTTGTCCTCTTGATTTTTCCACATTTCTTCTTCGAAACGTATTTAAAATGCCTAAAACGAATATATTAAGAAAGTTGGGACTGCGTCCTGTTATAATACATCTACTTTTGCTCGGTAATAGGCAGTAATCTCAGATAAAGTTAGTTTTTCTTCTGCTCATGGTGGTTCTGCAGGTTCAAACAGGCCGTTCTAGATGACCGTTACTCACAAATGAAATTAATTGGTCGACGACGGACCAAAACTAACCTAAAGTTAAAAAAATATGAGTGGGTAAGTGAATTTGGGCAAAAATCAACCTAGAATACTTTGTTTCCGCAATTTTATTAAGTTCCCGCCCTACATTTGAATTTCAAACTTGTCCCGATTTCGCCGCCAATCCTCTAGCCAATCGTAGAGGTGGTTGAAAAGAAGCTTCATTTTTTGCTTTTAGCCCTCCGTCTTTATGTCTTTGGTCTTCAGGTTCGTGACGCGCGTCCCATTGATCATGTGCTCAAATCTCGACTCGCGTCATGATTCATGTGCGCGTCACATACTAAAAAACATTCACTATCGCACGCAAACCATTAAGAGCTCTGAACTTTTTACCTAACTTTTAATGGAGCTCGTGAAGCCCATTGTTGACACTTGAACCTTGACCCACGTCATGTGCAGATTTTACTTTTTATTTTTAAAAAAATCAGAATCCATTTTGAGTCAGTTTTTCCACGTGACAGCAACGTCGGTGTAGCGGGGCATTTTGATGCTAAGGGTGAATAAGGTCATTAACACCCTCCTCTCATGCCTCGCATTCTATCATGTCCAAACCCCTCATAACGTCTCACGAAAGTTAACCGAGCACGTAACTAACTACGAAACTTGAATATTGATATGTATGTTCTTCTGGTCGGAAAAAAAATTATGAATTTCATCTTGTAAATTGAATACCTAGCTATCCATTAATTTGGAGCTGCAAAAAGTTTGCCATTGAGGCAGAGCAATTTCTCTTCAGTTCAGGGTATGCTAATTATTTTCTCAGAATTTTATTCTTACTTGGTAAAAGATAGACCCATCCACAATTTAGAGGCCAAAGTGTCTCCATCGTCATCATTAAAGTGCGAGTGATCAAGGATAAACTTAAAATGTAACGTAAAGTATGAACTAAATATATGACGCTGTAAAGGACAAAAAAAAAGTCTACATTTACAGGATCGCAGAAAAAAATCCAAGCAGAACAGACCGGCCAAAATTGCAAAAATTTCGAAGCAATTGGTGGTTCGAGTTGCCTCTGGAAGCCCCTCCCTTCTGTCCAGAAACTGACGTGAAGAAATTTTTCACTTTTTGCCGGTAGAACCAAATTGACTCGTAAGAGTATGGTAGGTGGCGAGTTGAGAAATCTCCTTGAGAAACTAAATTCAGTTTGGCAATAACCTCCTTGCGAAACAATGCAACACATTTCTAGTCAAATGTGATGGGCATACATATCAGTGGCGTGGCGTGCTTTGCGATACATCGATTGACCTGCCGTTTAAACCTATGAAAAAGGATCAATAAACAGGGTGTTTGGAATGTGCACCTTAATAATCGATTCTTTACCATGGTATCAAAGGGAGAAATATCGATAATGGATTATACGCGCCTCGGCCTCGCCACAAATACATACGACGAGAGAAACTGAGCTGTCACATTTAGACGAACTAAACTCAGTTTGACAAACTCTTTTAGCAAACACTTGAAACTAAAATTCATCAGTCATCAAAAAATAGAAAGCATGTTATCTTCTCGCAATAAAATAATGTGCCTAGCACAAGTATAACGATTGAGATATTGAACCCAATGGCTCGAAAATCGAACTAAAAAGTATATAGCGCAACGCATAGCATACTCTCTGATAAAATAAATTTGCCGAGTGAAATGCGTGAAAAGTTAAACGATTCATTAAACGAACTAACTGTACAGCTAGTTTTACGCACTCTTCAACGAGACAGCATGAACTAAAGTGCATCGGACGTCTGGCAGTGACGCATCGTGCCACTCATTAGAAAAATGAAAAAAAAAATTACAGTAAATTGGAATTTTTTAGCTAACGACGTGCATTAAAAATCAGCATAAAGCTGAGATTGCGTAAAAAACATTAATCGTAACCATTCTTGGTAAAATGGACTTTTCCATTCCCACGTCAAGGAACTCGGCGGATGACGCTGGATTCCTCCGTTAATGGCAGTCGGAGTGACATCCGAGTGACATCGGGTTCTTCTCGACGGTCATAGGCGGATCCAGCAATTTGGCAACACTGTTTTTCTCAATTTAAACCTATGGAAATGTATCGATTCTTAGAGGGGTCAGGTGCCATTTACCCTTGAAGACCCTTCAGACATTTTACCCTTGAAAATCCAAAATGGTCTTCAGAGCACTCTTGCATTTTTGCTAAACTGAAGAGATGTCGCCGATGATGAGTTCGACGATCCAGTGGGTCGATTATCGAATCATTATCGAATGAATTTGATGGATAAATGCCTATCTTATCAATGCTTTTTGTCGATCAAGGTCATTCGATATCGATTTTAACAATCGAACCGCAGAACAACGATATAAAAACTATAGATAGGTGCGTTGGTGGTGGCCTATGAAAAACCGTGCCCTGCACTGCGCGGTTGTTAAATGGGCAAGAGGGGAGTGGAATTATTCTCGTCTTGACCTCAATGACATGGTTTCTTGTCGGAGTCTTTACAATAAATAATTCTAGGTTGAAATTCTCATCGTCAACTGGCTTGAAGGATACCTAGGTTTTCACACCTGAACATAGAATTTCACAAAGTTTGTTTTAAATTTGATGAGAGTCCGAAAACAATAACGGTCCAATAAGACACAAGGGGAACTGACTATACATTCATCCAAACCTATTTTTTTCTCCTGATGGGGTACGAACAGAGACAAGAGACCCTCCACTAGTATCTTGGCTATTGTGGAAGCTTTTATTTTCGGGACTTCAGTCTTTGAGTCTTCAGTCAGAAACAGTCTTTGAGTCTTCAGTCAGAAACAGTCTTTGAGGTCGAGAATGTCGCGATGAGGGTGGCTCCAGTCCAGGTATCCAGGTGGTCAGCGACTCCTGACGCGCGCCTCCAGCTCCGGCACTCGCAGCCTCCGCCACAATGTAAGTCTTTTAGGCACCAACATCCTGTCATTCGAACACATGTTAGTACATGCAACTCAAATACAAACGTGGTTAGGCAGCTTCACCATAGATATGAATTGTGTCCTATCAACGGTGACACTGCCGAGCCACGTGTTCTGTTAGCGTGTTTAATTATCTCCGCTCCTATTTTATTTTTCTAAATGAGAATAAATAAACATCATTAGCCATGTCATCATTAGCATCGTGACATTTCTCACAGAATTTCCCTCGCTTAGAGAAGAAAAATCACGGAATTTTTTCAGAGTTGACGTGGAGTAGTAATAGAGTATGACAGGAAGTCTGCAATGCCGCAAATTGAGATACATTCGTGATTCGGGAGTTCACCATCTATATTTATTTGGGCGAAGAACGGTTTTAACAGTTTACGGGCCGTTCATAAAATGGACGTATTTCTACCAAACAGACCTGCGTGGAGGTGAAAAATATGGGGTGTGCTCGTCGAAGCTGCATAAGAAGCAATGTAAAAGTGGACGTGATTCCTTTTGAAGAATTGGAAAAGCAGGATTTTACATTCTATCAAACAGACCTATGTGCCAACTGAATGCGGGATTCATGAGCCGCGGGCATGGCAAGAGAGCGTTGTGGACAGGGCTCATGAGTTAAAGCGCACCACGAGGAGCACGAGGAGCAGCATCGACGGCATCCATTTCCGTTGACGTCACTGGCGCTTTATCATTCTCACTCACTCTTACGGCCAAAGGACTAACGAGCACACCCCATATCTCACCTCCACATAGGTCTGTTTGGTAGAAATACGTCAAAATATGGGACGGTCTAGGGAAGTAAATAGGTCTGAGTCTACAGCAGGCAAGTTCAGGAATACGTTAAGTAACGCTTATCAAACGGTGATGTTTCGAAATTTTCAGGTACAAAAATCTACGCGAGGTGGCAATTTTCATTCAAAATTCATCACAAATCCCCCATTCATGGGGTGAAGAATTGAACAGATCATTACGTAATTATTTAGGGGTTGCATAATTGTGTAACGGGTGCATCTCAAGGGAAAAAGGGGCGTCAAGAAATCCGATTTCAGCGTTATGTATTTAATGAACAAGTCTCTTAGCAATGCACGTGATTTCTTGTACGTATTTTCAATCATTTGTTGAATCAAATTTTTAGGCAAACCTGAGTTTGCCTAAGATAAAATTGAACGTCGAGCAAACCCCGAAATAATTGTCGGATTTCAATACGACCCTGAATCAGCTATTTTAAGTGCTAATCGTGACCTTCCAACACATTCAGACTCATAACTCTTACCTACGTATTTTCGGTATTTTGTACCACCCCCTAATAACTAAGCAGAAAATGTAGATTAAACAATTTTACTGCTAAGGTAAGGATTTCAGGCGACGACGATTTTTATCGGATTTTAGCGCTGTCCGCTGTAGGTATTTGGAAATGCCATCAATTTCTTCCATCACGTAATAATTTTTCTGTTAAAGAGGTCTTTTCCAGCAAAAATTAAATTTTTAAGAAAACTGATACAATATGAACCTTGATTGAACATTTTTTCTCCATTTGACAGTAAAAAGTATGCAGTGATACAAAGTCATTAATATCGATGATGTCACGATGCACCGATGATATTCTCTCGCTCTTCCTAATGAGAATCCAAACGAAAAAAGCAACTTATTTTCCAAATGTATTTCCTAGCCGTTCGCTCTGCATCCAAAAGGAATGATGAAATTGGTTTTCGCAATTTTTGACAGCGCAACTTCTGTGTGTTTTCAGTTGTTGAATTCAGAAACGTCATGTCGACGGTGAAACTACCAAACCACGTATCTCGGTTTGCGACGTCGCAGACTTCCTGTCATACATCATTTTTTAAATGAAAAACTACTTAACGTCCAGTCTTGAAAATTTCTGTGACTTTTCCTCTTCGTGCGGAGAAAATTCTGTGAAAATTTCAAAGAATGATAATTATGTGGTCTACTTCAAAAAAATAAAATGTGAGCGTAGATTTTTAAACACCGCAAATAGTCCAGGCAATAGAGAATTTTTGAGGGAAAGTTTAGTCGAACTAGCAATTATGGGTTAACTTTATATTTTTTGGGTCGTAGAATCCGAATTTCGACTTGCCTGACAGAGCCGACCCTCCCCCCGGCCGCCATTTTGAAAAAACGACTAAAATTTACGGTTTTTCCCCATTTTTTGCTCATAACTTTTTTTCTGTTCAAAATATTGAAAATCTCGTCACTTCTGTGGAAAGACAATTAAATTTGCAAGAGATTGGTATATACATATGTACACTTAACGTGAAAATCGCCAGAATGGGAGCGCGACGCAGGCAGCGGGAAATATCGATCTTGCGCCATTAGATACGAGGGTCATCCAAAAAGTAAGGTTCCCCACCTTGTATCTTCCGAGCGAAACCAGATAAATCACATCGGTAAAAAAGCACATATTAGGCATACTCTAAGCTTTAAAACAAGCTCAAGTTTTTGAAAATCGGTCAAATGATTTGCGAGTAAACTTAATTTTACTGAGACAACCTCCTGTCGCCCCGTGCCCACCTCCGGGGTTAGGATTCACGGAGAGTCGATTATTGAAGACTCCGGTTATCGCCTCTATACATCACATCAACAAGGAATTTTAAAGTTTTCATTGAGTAGGCCTTATGTTACTTTTTGACGTAGTCCCCACATCTTTTTTGACATTTCTGGTATCATTACAGCAGCTTCTTGATGCCTTCCGCGTAGAAGCTTTCGCCTTGACTCCAAAACCAGTCATTGACAGCGATCTGCACTTCCAAATCAGTTGCTTTGCGTAGGGACATTTTCCCCCAATCCTTCAAACTCTCTTACTTTAGCTTCATGTGACTTTCATTTGTTCCCGAGCGGAAAAACTTCCACGATGGAAGCGATTTTCAACCGATTCAGAGGTACAGATAGCTGTCAATGACTGGTTTCAGAGTCAGGGCGAAAGCTTCTATACGCGGAGGGCATCAAGAAGCTGCTGTAATGATACCAGAAATGTCAAAAAAGATGTGGAGACTACGTCAAAAAGTAAGGTAAGGCCTACTTAATAAAAACTTTAAAATTTCTTGTCGATGTGATGTATAGAGGCGATAACCCGAGTCTTCAATAATCGACTCTCCGCGCATCCTGACCCCGGAGGTGGGCACGCAGCGACAGGAGGTTGTCTCTGTAAAATTAAGTTTACTCGCGAATCCTTTGATCAATTTTCAAAAACTTGAGTTTGTTTTAAGGCTTAGAGTATGCCTGATATGTGCTTTTTTACCGATTTGATTTATCTGGTTTCGCTCGAAAGATACAAGGTGGGGAACTTTACTTTTTGGATGGGTACCTAACACCCTTTATCCCTGCGACCCTTTACGTGTAAGTCATAGTAAACAAGCGGTTATTTGAATGTATTATTTTATTAATCCCTTTACGATGTAAAATTTACATACATGACTGGTTACGGATGTAGACAAAATCAAAAATATTTTCAAAATGTGGAAATGTTTGATAAGTGAGTGAGTTAGTCCAATCGTGGGCGTTTGGCAGCTCGGTGCAACGAAGTTCCAACTTTTGGTGGCGGACAGGTGGATGGGCCTGGTTCTCCTCCATAGACATCACGGCCGGCGTTGATCTCCGACTCTAACACAGTATCCAGAATATGGAGCTAGAAGTCAGACAAAAAAAAAAAAGAAAAGAAAAGAGAAAAAAAAGGAACCTAAATTGATGGAAGATTAAAATTTTTGCATCACTTATCCCAAATAGAAAAAGCATTCTGGTTTACTGTATTTAGCAGTCTGGTGTTCATATATGGTGTGTATTTCTGATAATCCTAACCGAAATTTTTGGTAATGATTATCAGGAATACATGTCACTAACGAACACCTGATTGTTTTATAAAGCTTGTCATGGTATTTTTTCTATGCAAGAAGTGTTTGATAACAAGCGAGCAGTGTAAAAGAAATAACAAACCTTTAGGTTCATTGTTTATTTCTGAATGTGGGCTTTCTGGAAGGTCTTGAACTTCAGTCATGACAGCTTCAAAATCTTCCTCTGTACTTGGCTCGTCAAAAAAGTCATAAGCTTCAACATCATCCTCGCCCTCAGAGTCCGCTAAAGCAATTTCAGGCATGTTTTCGCATGTATCACTGCCGTTGATGCACAATGCTGAGCATTTAAGCCCACATTTCCTGCAACCGCACGCGCCTCGACAACTCGTTTTGAACTTGCAGGATTATCAGAAATACACACCATTTATGAACACCAAACTACTTGATACAGTAATAAACCAGAATGCTTTTTCTATTTGGGATTAGTGTTGCGAAAATTTTAATCGTCCTTCAATTTAGGTTCCTTTTTTCCCCCTTTTCTTTTCTTTTCTTTTCTTTCCTTTTCTTTTCTTTTTTTTTCATCTGACTTCTAGCTTCATATTCTGGATACTGTGTTAGAGTCGGAGATCAACGCCAGCCGTGATGTCTATTGAGGAGAACCAGGTCCATTCACCTGTCCGTCACCAAAAGTTAGAACTTCGTTGAGCCGAGCTGCCAAACGCCCACGATTGGTCTAACTCACCTACTTATCAAAGATGTCCACATTTTGAAAATATTTTTGATTTTGTCTAAATCCTTAACCAGTCATTTATGTAATGGGATTAATAAAATAATACATTGAAATAACCGCTGGTTTAATATGACTTACACGTAAGACGTTGCAGGGATGCAGGGTGTTAAGTATCTAATGGCGCAAAATCGATATCGCCCGCTGCCTTCGTCGCGCTCCCATTCACACAATTTTCACGTTAAGTGTACATATGTATATACCAATCTCTTGCAAATTTAATTGTCTTTCCACAGAAGTGACGAGATTTTCAATATTTTGAACAGAAAAAAAGTTATGAGCAAAAAATGGGGGAAAACCGTAAATTTTAGTCGTTTTTTCAAAACGGCGGCCGGGGGGAGGGTCGGATCTGTCAGGCAAGTCAAAATTCGGATTCTACGACCCAAAAAACATAAAGTTAACCCA